GGATGGTGCAGCAGCTTTTAATGCAGTCTTCCAGGTGTTGGGAAGCATCAGCCTTTACCCCGAGGAATAAATATAAATATCTGTGTATTTGCTGAATTTAAGGTGGAGGAACTGTAAAAAACATGTGCTGGTTTGAACAGCAGACAGAAAACAGGGGTGGGGTTTTTATCCCCAATTTGTGTGTTCAGATCTCCTGGCAGTGTTGATTTAATGGTCGCTGTTAAAGAGTGACTATTCTATAATAATATAAACATGTAAATATAAATAGTCACGAGAGTACAGGAAATTACAACCAGTTAATTGGAGAAAATCCAGGGTGGTTTTTTTTTTTTTATCCAAAGTATTTTCAAGAAGCTGAAATGTTTGTATTTTGTCGGTGGAATGAAAACCAAACAAATGACATCACTGTGAGGGGCTGGAATATCCTCCCTGCCCCAGGACTTCCAGAGATCAGGAAGCCTCCAGGATGTTTCTTTTCTCTGGAAGTAGAGGTCCAGGTTGCTTAAATCCCAATTTAAGGTGGACACAGCTTCCCTTTATAGGCTGACAAATAGGTAAGTACTGAAACAAGAGGGAATCCTGTAAGACCAGACAGTTCAGAACATGAAAAAGCTGGAAAAATATTTGTGGATGAGCTCAGACTTTTGAGGAACAGTGTGAGAGGTCTTTAAATTTATTTCATATTTCTCCCTTTGCTTTGGAGCCTTCCTGTAACTTCTCTGTTGATGAATGCCATGTTTTATTGGGAAATAACCCACCCAGTTTTCAGTCTGTCATTTTGGGTGAGAGAGGCTCTGCCTTTCCCTTCCCTTCCCTCAAAAAACAATCACACAAGAATGCTATTCCTGAAAAACAGGAGGAAAGGGGTGTATTCCCATCAGTAAATGTGGGATGTGTGATGGAGGCACTCTCTGACTCCTAAAAAAAAGTGGGAAAGGTGGCTCCCAAATCCCTTCTGCTGGCTGTGGGAAATGGTGACACTGATGATACTGGGATTGATTAGATGCATTTGGTCATGGGATGAGAAGATAATTGGGAATTTCTTTGGAGCCAGAGGCTGTTTAACTGCAGAACTGGAGGAACCAAGGGGGTTCCCTGAAAAGGATTTAAAAAATGGAGTTGAACTTGTGCTGACACATCCAGGAGGTTGTAGATTCCCAGGAATGGAAAGAGACCTGCAAAATTCCTGATGATGTCACTGTGGTTTTGTGGTTGGGGTTTTTTTGGGGTGGGTTTTTTTTTGTTTGTTTTCTTTAATTGCCATTATGTCTTTAATTTCAAGCAGCTTCCTAATTATCCCTAGGAAAGGACAGGAAAGGAACTGTGTTTCTGTAGTGCATCTCTCACCACCCAGCACGTTAATTTTTAAAATTTTGAAGTGCCAGTGAGCAGTCTCTTAAATTCAGTGGTAGATAAACCCCAAGTGTGTTGTGTTTCCAGGGAAGAGGTGGGAATTTAATCACCCACTGATTCCTGTCAGCCCTTCACGTCCCTCCTCTCTCGTTTTCCCTGATCCTGTTGCTGCTCTTCACTGGCTCACCTAAAAAACATTGTTGGGGTTCGGTGATTTTCCTGGATAGTTGTAATTTCTAGCTGTAACTAGAAAAAGAGGGGGTTTTGTAGATCAGTGGTGCAGCTGTAACAGTGTGTTGACAGAAATGATAATTAAAAATGATAATTAAAAACTAAACCCTGATCCTCCCGTTTTTTTTCAGGCATCGGGAGAGTTGCTGCTACATCTCTAGGAAACTTAACAAATCATAGTTCTGAAGATTTACCTCTCCCTCCTGGCTGGTCAGTGGACTGGACTATCAGAGGAAGGAAATACTACATAGATCACAACACCAACACCACTCACTGGAGCCACCCTTTGGAGCGGGAGGGGCTCCCGCCGGGCTGGGAGCGCGTGGAGTCCGCGGAATTCGGGGTCTACTACGTGGATCACATCAACAAAAGAGCTCAGTACAAACATCCCTGTGCTCCCAGGTGAGGCAGACAACCTCCTCCTCTGTGCTTGCATTTCCCTTAATCCAGTTAAAGTGGAACTGGGTTTGTCTCAACGTGCCCAAACCTTATTTTTAGAACCGAGGTCTTGAGGAGTAGGAGGTGTAATTGTCGGGGTTTTGTCTCGTGCTTCTGTCACAAG